CTCAGAAGTCTGTTAGAAGATACATTCAAAGGGAGGTAAAACTGTACTCCAACAGGTTGTCAATTATATCTGTGTATCTTTTTTTCAGTTCTTTTGAGGTCAAGTGCTTCACATGCTTCTAGTCTGAACATTATTTTTCTTACTCCATAACTATGTTAAAAAGGATACTGGTAAAACAGAAGAAGAATACTGCAGAGCAAAAGATGCCGAGTGTGTCTATGTTAACCCTTCAGAATGAATGACAGGAACAGAATGTCATTACTGTCAATGAAAAATGTTCCACATAACCTTTATCGTTTTGCCAAAACCAGCCCACCAGAAGAAACCAAAGAGAAATTCCAAGTTTGGACTTGCCAAATGAATCTTTCGTTTAAAATTTGAAACAAAGGCATTGTTTTTGCCAAACACTGCTAAGCTTCGCTGAGGCCTCGCGTGAAAAACCAAGAGCTCCGACTATTTGGAATTCATATTTGATGTAAAACTTGGGCTTGTTCCCACTTAATGCAAGTAAGAGACTGCACATTACCTTAAAGCTCTCTAAATTAAAAATGATACTGACACAGAACTGTGCCAAATTAACTCAGCTATGATGAAATGATTATAAAAACATGGTGTTCCGAACTATCTTGGCACTTAAAGACATGATGAAGTCTCCATAACAATCTGAAAATTTGTTAAAATGAAAATAAAGACTGGCTTTGAAGTCAATATTTTATTTCCAAAATATTATACTCCTAAAGAATTTAAAATACCAAATATAATGAGATACAATATCAAACAGATATTTATGTTGAAAAATATACTTTTAAAAAAACTTTTAACATAATGATAGATTTCTAATGCTGACATACTTTAATGTCATAGACAAAAAGATAACTAGGTATGACCTTTTGGACAACAGTGTTTGGTCTATAATAACCTTATACTACTAACTTTTTTTTTTCTTCACTAAAAAATTGAAATAGCTTTTCTTTCTAAAACAGATATAAAAATCATCTTACATTCTTTCTTATGGTTCATTATGAGATAAACTCAAATCATGCTCAGAAGATGCTCTTAGCAATGCTGCTAACTGTTGTTACAGACAGCAAAGTTGATAGCTGAAGGTACACAGGAGTTTACATCATACAGGGTCTCATTTTCCAGTTTGAGGTGGATTACCTCAAATACTTGAGCATATAATATGAATACTCTCCAGCTTGAGGAAGACTTCTGCTCTATTATCCACTAATGAGAACCTGTATTTTGAGAGCTTATGAAGATTTTTTGAAGGGTATGTTTGTTTGACAAACAGCCACAGTTCTACCAGAAGTAGCTACTGAAAGTGGTAACAGGTAATTCCCAAATTCCTTTCTGTATCACATACATTAGGAAGCAGGGAAGTTAAATTCTTCAAGTAAAATTATGTTCTGAAACTCAAAAACAGGCTTCACTCAAAAACTAAATTCATACACAGATATGGGTTTGTGTGCATCGTTTTCCCCTTCCCTCTCATTACTCTTTAACCCAGTCAACTCCAATTAAATTTATTAGGATAAATATTTAAACATCATTTCCATGAAAACAGCCGATCAGCTGGAAGACAGAGATCTTACTGGTGTGTTCACCTCCATTCTCTAGAGGATGCAAGGGGGAACATTGTCACTAAAGACGAGGAAAAGGCTGAGTTACTCAATGCCTTCTTTGCCTCAGTCTTTAATGGCCCGATGAGTTATCCCCAGGGTACCCAGCCTCCCGAGCTGGAAGATGGGGATAATGAGTGGAATAAACCCCCCATAATCCAGGAGGAAGCAGTCTTTGACCTGCTATGCCACCTGGACACCCAGAAGTCTATGGGGCCGGATGGGATCCACCCAAGAGTGCTGAAGGAGCTGGCAGAGGAGCTTGCCAAGCCACTCTCCATCATTTATCAGCAGTCCCGTTTAACTAAGAAGATCCTAGTTGACTGGAGGTTAGAAAATGAGATACCCACCTACAAGAAGGGCCAGAAGGAGAATCTGGGGAACTACAGGCCTGTCAGTCTGACCTTGGTGCCAGGGCAGGTTATGGAGCAGATCATCTTGAGTGCCATCACATGGCACGTTCAGGGCAACCAGGTGATCAGGCCCAGTCAGCATGGTTTTATGAAAGACAGGTCCTGCTTGACCAACCTGATCTCCTTCTATGACAAAATGACCTGCTTAGTGGATGAAGGAAAAGCTGTGGATGTTGCCTACCTGGTCATTGACTAGTAAAGCCTTGGACACTGTTTCCCACAGCATTCTCCTGGAGAAACTGCTGCTCATGGCTTGGATGGGCATACTCTTTATTGGATAAAAAACTGGCTCTATGGCCAAGCCCAAAGAGTTGTGCTGAATGGAGTTAAATCCAGTTGGCAGCTGGCCACAAGTGGTGTTCCCCAGCGATCAGTATTGGAGCCAGTTCTGTTTAACATCTTGACCAACAGCCTGGAGGAGGGGATCGAGTGCACCCTCAGTAAGTTTACAGATGACACCAAGTTGGCCACAAGTGTTGATCTGCCTGAGGGTAGGAAGGCTTTACAGAGTGATCTGGACAGTCTGGATCGATGGGCCAAGGTCAGTTGTATGATGTTCAACATGGCCAGGTGCTGGGTCCTGCACTTGGGTCACAACAATCCTATGCAACGCTACAGGCTTGGGGAAGAATGGATGGAAAGCTGCCTGGAGGAAAAGGACCTGGGAGTGTTGTTTGACAGACAGCTGAATATGAGCCAGCAGTGTGCCGAGGTGGCCAAGAAGGCCAAGATCATCCTGGCTTGTATCAGGAATAGTGTGGCCAGCAGGAGTAGGGAAGTGATCATCCCCCGTACTCGGCACTGGTGAGACCACACCTGGAATACTGTGTTCAGTTTTGGGCCCCTCACTACAAGAAAGACACTGAGATGCTGGAGTGTGTCCAAAGAGCAATGCAGCTGGTGAGGGGTCTGGAGCACAAGTTTGATGAGGAGCGGCTGAGGGAACTGGAGTTGTTTAGTCTGGAGAAAAGGAGGCTGAGGGTAGACCTTATCGCTCTCTACAGCTACCTGAAAGGAGGGTGTAGCGAGGTTGGCATCGGTCTCTTTTCCCAAGTAACAAGGGATAGGGCAAGAAGACACAGTGAAGGATAGATGAGGTGCTTAGGGATATGGTTTAGTGGTGGGATGGCAGGGTTAGGTTAAAGGTTGGACTCGATGATCTTAAAGGTCTTTTCCAACCAAAGCGATTCTATGATTCACTGAAAGTACTGAGCACTATATCCTTAGAAATACCTACTAGACTTCAAATAACCTACATGGAAGAGACCATTTATGAATACCAAAACTTGGAAAAGTCACGATAGGAGGTATGGGAGGTGCAGGATGGGTAGAAAGAGAGACTTAGCACTCACTGCTAGATACATGTGAGTGCCCAGATTAACCTGTGGAATACATAATTCAGAGAAATACAAATACTTCCCAGAAAGAGCTGAGGTGGACAAAAAGAGAAGAAACCAGAGAAGACTCTTGGAAACCTGCCTAATTTCCTCTGAGCACACAGTCCACGCACTTGGCAAGCTCACAGGGAAACCCAACTTGCATCATTGTGACTCTCAAACAGTCTTTCCCTGAAAATGCTTTGAAGACACAATGGTTTTCCCAATCTGTGGCCATGAGATGACCAGACTGCTTTGGAGCTGGAACTCCTCCTTTGTCCAAAAATGTCAAAATTCAGTCTTTTTTCTGACCCAGAAGACATCTTCAACTACCAAAATTTTCCATTAAATGGTACACTGTTCACCATCTCTTTCTACAGCCCAGAAAATCTTCATTCTGGCATTTTCTAAATTCTGAATGCTTAACTCTGAAACCTGCAAAAAGCACTGTATGTTTTGGAAATTTGTGATTCTGCAGTCTTGCAGAATTGTTAAACATTGTTACGCTTCTTAGAATAAACATCTATTTAAAACAAAGCAAAAATGCTAAACTAACAGCTTGAAACCCTTGCACCCACCTATTGTATCTGAATAACATCATAGGTTGTCATCCTCCATTTGGATCCATTAGTAAAGGAGGAGAGGTACTTTTCTTATTATTTCACTTTTATTTACTCATAGAAATGGAACATGTCATCCTGAATTCCATTTTAGGATAACATTGGCAGTATACTCTAGTTCTTACTGATGTTTTCTTTTCACTTTTCCTGACCTGTTCTCTCCAACAACTTTCGTTCCACTCCTGCAACGTTCCCAACTCCTTCTCATTATCCAGTAAAACCGATCTGAAATCCAAGCTTTTCATTCAATTCACTTTGTTATCATCCACACCACTTGTCTATCACATTGGCTACTTCCCCACAGGACTCAAAATCCTGCTGATTTCAGGTCTTCTCCATAACATTCACACATCCATGCCTTTCCTTAAACTCATCAGTCCCTACCATACCCTCCTCAACTCTATGAAGTATCTTTTCATCTAATCAATAAATCATTTCATCTAACCCCAATCTAAATTCTAACACTTTCAGAACTCTCCCACTACATCTTGGTTCCTCATCAGATCTGCCCCAGGTCTCTCGCATACTTTTTCAGTTTTTGATGTGGCTTAAACCTAAGTCTATTTGTCAATTAGGCCAAAGTTGTGCCATCACCCCAAACCATGGTTTCCTAGCTTCTTTTTTCACATCCCCCTCCCAGTCTTCCCAATACAAAACGATGCCACTGTCTAATAAGAAGCCTAAGTTTCCACCTAAGAGTCCCAATTTTCTTCTCTCCTTTCCTGGCAGGTTCCAGCCACTACCTCTGCCATTACTCCACGTCTGGTCCTGCCTTCTGACAGACTGAAGGAACAAGGGAAGGCTTGCAGACCATAAAGAGAAAAGACCCTAAGAAGCAATTAGCTAATTGCACATTACAAATGTAGTCTTAAGATTCTCTGTTGCCAGAAACTGTAAGTTGTTCCTTATATTAAAAAAGAAATTCAATTCATGTTCAAATCACAGACTGGACAGCTGTTATATGCTCACCTGAAATATTTGTTTCAAGGAGAAAAGTGCCCGTCTCAGCTCCCGTCCATTGGAATTGTAAAGTTTTTCTGGAAAAAAAAAAGACAACATAAAGAAGTTCAGCATAAACAAAACTGACAACATGGCAAAAAAGCAGTACAGACTTTAAAACAGTTGGGAGTGGAAGAGTCATAGCGCCCATTTCCCATTAGGTAGACTGCTGTTAAAGAAAGCATCTTTGTTTTTTATATATACAGGACTTATTAATTTTAAAAGTGCAAGTAAAACCAGACTTTAGTTGTCCATAACTTCACATGGCATCTCCCAGGTAAATCCACAACAGCTTCAACAAGATCAGTGAGAAACAACGCTCTAAGGAGTTTTAAAATGCCTAGCAATACTGCTCTTTCTGCATTAAGGTAAATTTAGGCTTTACTGAAAGTACCAGATTAGTCTCAGAAGACTCAACTGAGAGCACTCTTTGCTTTTGTTATCAAAGCTAGAGACACTGAATCCCATCCTTGACTGTCTTCCCTCTAGACATTCTTTTCCCATGTTCTCATCTTTCTATTGTCAAATCCTTCCTGCAATGGCAATGAACATTAATACCAGAAATAGTCAGACAGTCTGTTCTAAGCATAATTCAAAACAGTGGTTTTTTCTCATGAAAACTGATCTTGATCTTTTTCTAAATGAAGCAGAAGCCTTCTTTTCATCATCCAATACTGAAATATATGACTTCATTTGTTCCCCTACTAATGCATACTCATAGAAATAATTTAAAGAAGACAAAAGCAACTCCTCTGCTATCTTTCTGATCCCTGCCACAACGTTTGTGCCTTTGGAAGAAGCCTTGGACTGTACATCTTAAGTTTATTATTGTGTATTTGGAAGAGATTTGTAACTGTGCATGGATGGAGTAGAAGGTATGCTCTTCGAGCTGTCTTTCTGGTCTATGTTTGGCATATCTGATAGAGAAAGACAATATGCAACACTTCTACAGTCCTAAATTGAATTTTATTACACTAATGCAATCTGAGGACAATTAAAAAGGAAAATCAAATCTTCACAGTCACCTTCCATGACACACTTTGCCTCACTCACAGATCCTCATGAAAGGACCTTCTCTGCAATGGACAGCAGCCAGCATGTCATGAGATCAAAGCTCGAATGCCCGTGGAGTGGGAACATTCTTATGAGAAAATGAAATATCAGACCCCAAAGTTTTATTTCTTACTTTCCCATGTTTATTTCTCTTTTAATTACTACTTTACACTACAAAATCAAATTAAATTTTATTTCCCTCTCTCAGGAATTTACAAAAGAGGCCTAGAATTTGAGGATTCAATGCATTTGTAACTCAGTAATCATTTTTTACTTCAATCAAAGAAGGCAGGTTTTAATTTTAGAAAAACATTTCTTATTCCCAACAGTCATCTTCAACCAAAGGAAAAAATGTGAAGTGAAGCTTCAGCAAAACTTACATTATTTTTTTTTTTGCAAACTCCAAAAGTAGTTTTGTTCATCGCTAAGTGCCTCTGATTTCAAAGGCAGAACGTGTAGAATTGGCAAAACTATTGTTGTTATAAGTTGTCTCCATCCTTGCACTGTTTATAGATTCCTGACAAAACATTGGAGGAACGGATTTCACTTCAAGCCATAAACTTAGAGGCATACTTTAATTACTCTTGCTTAAAAACACACTGGCATGTGAAACTACATTTCTTGGCAGGATAAAGAGTAATTTTGTCAGGAAAGCTTAAAGAATAATAAAGGTCTTTTAAGACCCGTTCTGTCAACTTTACATGCCATATTACACAAAATATTTCTCTTTGAAAGATACCTCCATCTGGCATTTGTTATTACTAATTTCCCCCTATTCATAATTCACCAGCATCATTATGAGCAGAATCTCCCCAAACAAGGCAGTACATTATCATCTTAATTAAGAGAGGCACCACTTCGTAAAGTGCTGGCAACTTTGTACATAAATATCAATGTCCTAACAAATGCCATCTGTTGGTCTCGGTCTTAAACAGGAACAATCATCATCCCGACCCAGGATAAAGTCCTAACGAACCATTGTTATGATACCATAACGCTGGTTGCTTTCATTGCTGCGTGCAGATTTCTGGTATGCCTCAGAGGAACAATGCTGGACATTTTTCTTCTTGGTCTTTTCATCCTTGGCAATCAGCACAAACAAGGCTCTCCCGGCTCGCATGTAGCAAAGAGGACAGAAGTTATTAACTGCAGCTCAAAAAGGGGTCTATCGAGCTGAAGAATCAATAAGTACTGGAAGTATCAAGTTTGGCAACAGCAGAAACAACAAGGCAGCAGCACACATCGCAAATGCTTGAGCTGGTCTGACACCCCTTTTGAGGGGCAACAGCCCAGGTAAGTCATCTCATTTCTGACATCTACTATCAGGGCGCAGCAATCCACACAGAGACAACACACATTTGCAGATCCCTCCTCATGTGGAGCTAATCTTGTTGAATCAGCTCAGAAATACAAGTCGCTAATCTCTTCACCTGCTATTGCCCACACATGGGCAATATACTAACTGTCTACCTAAGTCTTGGCACCCACTTCTTAGAGTGCTGGCAGCCATCAGAAACATTCACGGAGCATAACCCAAGGAGGAAAGTGAGAGAGTCACTCTTTGGAGTCATGCTACATCAGAAGATGTTTTGGTTTAGAAAACCGCAGTCCAGGGCGAACCTCACCCAGGGCAAGAAAGCCTGCGTAAGCCAAGGTACTGCATGGGTCACCTTATACAAGCTTGTACTTTTATTGTATTTCTGTGTGCTGTTTTTCAGAAAATGATAAATGTACACACCAGATTACAGCTCAGGGACACTTGGTAAGATGCTCTCAAGGCCTTATAGGATTCCCATTTGTCACCAGTAACTTTAACACCACAGGGACCTTGGGACTCATCCCAAAAGCCCCAGACTGCAACCAAGGCTATGAAAATGCATCAGCAGAAATGGAAAGGCAATAATCACTCGTAAGCTCTTTTTCTTAGTAAAAAAAAAAAAAAAATCAAATTAAAAAAACAGAAAGGGAAAGGCACATTTTCTTACAATGTTTTCACACTGAAGGTGATTCAGAAACCAGATAGCAAATGCTTTTTGACACTCACTGTTTTACATTAGCAATTTAAAGCATTGCCCTCTTTTAAACAGACTGAGAAATAGCCTTTCATGCTAAAGCACAGAAGTGACAGCAATTCACGGTGCAGCCCTGGCAGAGTTGTCTTTAACTGAGACAAATGATGCCTACAGCTTTGAAACGGGAGTCCAACCTGCTACTATCACCAGAACCAAAAAATTCTCAGATGCTCCAAGAACAGCCCAAAAGACCTACCTGCTCACCACCTTGTGTTGTACAAGCTTGAACACGTGCACCAGGACTGCTTTATGCCAGAAATGGAACCTCCGAACTTCAAGCAGGAACACTCGCTGCAACACCTCTCCCTGAAACTTCACAAGTCTCTGGCCTTTTGCTAAAACACAGTTCCTGTCCTTCCCCAGGTCAAGTACAGGCTGGAGACATACTACGCTCATGCACTTCAAGCTTAGAAAAGATACAACTGGTCAGGGAGCTGGAGATATCTGACTGTATCTACCTATTACTGATTGCATTTCTGACAGTTATGTCCTAATAAGCTATGGTATTGGGTTCTTTCTTAATACTTTTCGTCAAGAAATAAAGAGCTGCATCTGTGGCTGTGAAATAGGCTTAACTGCAGATACCTAGATGATAGGAAATTCTCCTGCTGGTTCCCTCTGATGTTAACTAACACTAGAGGGCACTGCTTATTTCTTTATTTTAGGAAACAAAAAGGCACTCTGCCCCTCCATGGGCTTCCCACTGATTGAGCAATATTGTTTGGGATGCTGAGTTGGTACTTCATTAACCTTGAAACCCTGCTTTTTATCTGCATACTGTAGGACATCCTGAGAAATCAAAAAGCATCTGCACTGCCAACCTCAAACATTCTAAATCAGAGTCAACTCTTTTGAAACTATCTGACAGAAACAAAAACAGGTACTGGTATGGGCTCGAGATTTATTTACTCTTCTGTAACAAGCAGGAGTCACATTTGTTAAGTTATCCTTCCCATCATAACAGGTAGGCATATATCCTTGAAAGACAAAGAGATTCCCCCTTAGCTTACCACTTCTTTCTACGGGCAGAGCACCAAAGATAACTGGGCTCGTGATACAGACAGACACGCGTGAGAGGTAGCAACCTGCAAGCACCTAATTTCTTGCAATGGCAGCGCTTTGGTCATGAGAAGGCTTCATGCTCTAAAAGACAACCATTATTTATTACTCTGGGGTTTTGTTTGCTTTTACTTTTGTAAAAACAACTCTTCTAGAGAGGAAAGGAAAACAGCTTATGCTAGGTGAAAAGGGATTTCTCTAGGTGAATTTGGTACAAATGTGGTGGTGGAGGGGAGGTGGTTTGGTTTGCAATTGGCATCTTTTCAGAAAGCAAGAGAAGCCTTTGAAGATCTTTATGTTATCGGACCACTGGTAGCTTTCAAAGGGGGTTCTATATTTTCAAAGACAACCATCAGAGGCTCAAATTTCATTGGGTATTCACCTCTTTCAACTACATGGGAAAAGGGACTGTTTAAAGAAAATAATAATTGCTCTTTATATATTCTTGATAAAAGTATTGACTTTTCTTCTGCTTTCTACAGGAAAATTAGTGCTTTCAATCCACAATAATAAAAGAAAAAACAGAACTGGCTGAATATTGCTTGGTTCAGTCCCATGTACTACACCTGACCTCTGACCAACAGGGTACCATCCTCCTCCCTTCCTCTTCCATCACACCCATTGAATTAGTCCCTGGGATATAGTAATTTATGTAGCATCAGCCTTTTCAGCTATTGGCAAGGGCTCGTGAACATCTGGCTGAGCACAAATGGGAGTTGCTCTGCTTCACTTGCTGCTGCCTGAATGACCTCCACTTCTCCCATCCATGCCTCTTTTCTTTAAACTATGATTTCAAGATGAAGCTCCTTTCCTTACAAAAACATAAAAGGGAGATTAACTCCACATTTGATTAC